ATTCCTGCTCCACCAGGTTAGAGGGGTGGGAAGCCTGGGGGGACGTTCTCCTCCTGGAGCTCAGCTCCATCTCACAGATGTCAGGCAGGGAGAGAGGGTTGGGCTGAGCCTTGGGGGAAAAAAAAAACCTCAAAGGGTTTGGAACAGATCCCAGAAGTTCAGATGCTTTTGAAACAATCAAAAGCAGGATAATTGGGCTGACAGCTTCACAGGCTCTCTGGGCTGATGCTTCCTGCTTGGAGACATTGACACAGGAACAATCTTCCTTGCTGGTTTGGGGTTTGGGTTGGTTGGGGTTTTTGGTGTTTTTTTTTGAAAGTACATCTGGGTCCAGCCCCAGCTGCTTCCAGGATGGGGCTGTGAAGAACTGAATGTGCTGAAAGAGAGCAATGCAAAAAAGCAGCTGATTTGTGCCTCCAGCTCCCAGCCTGAGGACAACCTGCTCTCATTTCTCCTCTGCCTCTTGAAGGGGCAGAAAACAGGAAGAAAATGTAAGAAAACCTCGTTGCTCTTCCATCCCTGAGGCTTCAGGGGTTACTCCTTCCTTGGGAGAAGCTGTATTTTAATTGTGAGCAGAGATCATTAGGGGGTGTTTGGTGCTCTTGGCCACAGACACTCAGCAGGGAAAGGAGCTGAAGTGTCAGTGAAGGAGCTTGTTTGTGTTTGCAGAGGACACAGGGGCAGGGATCCTGCTGGGAGGGTCCTGAGCCTCCCAGCTGAAGGTTGCTCTTCAGGAAAGGGGATGGAGCTCAGCTGAGTGGAGGGGTCACAGAATCACACAGACTGGGTTGGGTTGGAAGGGACCTTCAAGATCATCCAGTCCCAACCCCCTGCACGGGCAGGGACACCTCCCAGCAGCCCAGGCTGCTCCAAGCCCCATCCAACCTGCCCTTCAACACTGCCAGGGATGGGGCAGCCACAGCTTCCCTGGGCAACCTGGGCCAGGCTCTCACCACCCTCACAGCAAAGAATTCCCTCCTCATGTCCAACCTCAATCTCCCTCTCCCACTTTTCATCCATCCCCCTCATCCCATCCCTCCCTGCCCTTGTCCCAAGTCCCTCCCCAGCTTTCCTGGAGCCCCTTCAGGCACTGGAAGCTGCTCTAAGGTCTCCCTGGAACCTTCTCTTCTCCAGGCTGCACAACAATAAGGTTAACACCAAGCTCCATCTATTTCTCTTCCCAGCCCATTCCCAACCTCCCTGCCAGCCACCCCCAAAGAGGAGCTAGTTTCCTTCCCTCTGGACATGCTGGAGAACCTCCCAGCAGTGGGATGAAGCAAGGGGTGGGTTTCTTCCAGCTGCAGGGTGAGGTTGGGGTGCCTTTGTCCCCTTGGCTCTTGACAAACCCCCCTGTCCCTTTGCAGGTGCTACAGCTTCGGCATCGGCCCCAAGGCCTGCAGGAGGCTGGTTGGGGGCCTGGCTGCTGTGTCCAGGGGCACTGCTGAGTTCCTGGAGGAGGGGGAGAGGCTGCAGCCCAAGGTAGGACCCCCACCCTTTGGGGGGACCCCAGTGGGATGCCCATGGGGTGCTCCAGTTCAGCGAGGGGGAAGCCAAGGCTCCCTAAAAGGGGTGGTTGGTAGGTCAAGGGAGGTTCTCCTGCCCCTCTGTTCTGCCTTGGTGCGGCCACATCTGGGATGTTGTGCCCAGTTCTGGGCCCCTCAGTTCCAGAAGGACAGGGAACTGCTGGGAAGAGCCCAGGGCAGAGCCCCAGAGATGCTGGAGGGAGGGGAACATCTCCCTGCTGAGGAAAGGCTGAGGGAGCTGGGGCTGTTGGGCTTGGAGAAGAGGAGACTGAGGGGCCACCTCATCCATGGGCACAAATCTGTTCAGGGCAGTGTCAGGAGGGCAGAGCCAGGCTTTGTGCAGTGATGTCCAGTGACAGGACAAGGGGCAGTGGGTGCAAACTGGAGCACAGGAGGTTCCCTGTGAATCTCGGGAAGAACTTCTTTGCTGTGAGAGTGCCAGAGCCCTGGGCCAGGCTGCCCAGAGAGGCTGTGGAGTCTCCTTCTCTGGAGACATTCCAACCCCCCTGGGCACGTTCCTGTGTGATGTGCTCTGGGTGCCCCTGCTCTGGCAGGGGGGTTGGGCTGGGGGAGCTTTCCAGGTCCCTTCCAACCCCTGGGATTCTGGGATTCTGTGAAGATTCTTCTTCCCCATCCCAGCTGCTGCTTCTCCACCTCCCACCCTGCAGTGGGTGGGATGAAAGGGCCCCTTCCTCTCAGGCTGCTGGGGGGTGGGAGGGTCCATCCCCCCTCGGAGTGGGGACAGGGGGGAGTGATGGCTCAGGCTTCAAAGGGACCTGCTGCCTCCCACACCAGCAGGGCCAGAGGAACCAGCATCAAAGCTGCCAATTAGTTTTGAAGTCGAGCTCAGCCTGGGCGAGAAGTGCCTGGGGTTTGGGGGAGAGGGAAAATAAAAACCCCAACCTGCTAAAGCTTTGGCTGTTGAAGCCAACTTGAAAGGGAAGGAGGGAGCCTCTTCATTCCCACCCTCCCCACGAAAAGGCTGAGGACACCCGTGTGCTCCAGACATGGCACAGGAACAGCTCTGTCCCCTCTGAGAGCCCTGTGCCCAGCCTGTCACCTGCTGGGGGACAAAACCCAGAGAGAATTGGGTCTTTAGCTCCTAAATTCCTCTCAAACGTTGGCTGCTTGATCTCAGGAGGAGGAGTTGAGCACTAACCCCCCTCTGCAGGGACCTGGAGCACACAGAAACCTCTCAGAGACAGAACAGCAGCATTTCTGATGTAAATGAAAAGCACAGACAGCAAAGAGAGGTTTGTTGGGTTTTTTTTTTTTAATATATAGAGCTATTAATAAAGAGCTTTGCAGGCTGTGCAGCTTCTTCTGCAGTCTGAGGCATCAATTATTGGCCTTATAAAACACAGCCTGGTGGGTCTTCCTGAGCCTTGGAAAAAGCAGGGAACAACAGAGTCCTGCCTCTGGATCTGGTGTTCTGTCCCAGGGAAGCTCTGGTAGATGGTTCCTTGGTAGATTTGGCCATGAGGTCTTCATGGATATTGGTCTTCCCCATGCAGAGCATTGCTGAGCTCCTGCTGGTGGCATGAGGAGCTGGGAAAGCCAGCAGAGCTGGTTGGTGTGTGAGTGTCAGGGTTTGGAGCTCAGATAAGAGAAGTTCAGCTTGTCCTGGGTGCTGGGGGGGTCAGGGGGTGCTGCCTCACAGCAGGGCAAGATGCCTCTGGCCACAAGTCCCCACCTTGCTCCAGGCTGGGCATGCCTGGGGTGAGGTCAGCCCTGTGCTTTGGTGGGTTGATGAGGTCCTGCGATGCTCTTGTCAGGCTGGAGATGGGCCCTTGCAAACCTCATGAAGTTCAACGAGGCCAAGTGCAAGGTCCTGCTCATGGGTTGGGGCAAACCCAAGCAGAAATGCAGGCTGGGCACAGGATGGATTGAGAGCAGCTCATAGGGCTCCCCCTTGGGAGGCTGCAGAAGCAAGAGAAAAGCCCAAGGCAGATGGAGGGGTCTGGAATTTGGGAACTATGTGAGATAGGAAATTCTTGGCTGTGAGGGTGGTGAGAGCCTGGCCCAGGCTGCCCAGGGAAGCTGTGGCTGCCCCATCCCTGGCAGTGTTGAAGGGCAGGTTGGATGGGGCTTGGAGCAGCCTGGGCTGGTGGGAGGTGTCCCTGCCCATGCAGGGGGTTGGATCTGGATGATCTTGAAGGTCCCTTCCAACCCAAACCCTTCCATGATTCTATGATCTTAAAGGTCCTTTCCATCCTCAATGGAACCTGCTCTGCTGCCCTTGGCACAACAGGTCCCAGGGGCTGGGGTGGCTGGGACGGGGATCTAAGAGGGTGATTCCTGAGGGCAGGAATCACCTGGTGGGGAGACCCGTGGAGCTCTCCCCTCTGCTCCCTGCCCCAGCTGATCAGGTCCCTGAAGAAGGCGATGGGGCCTGCCCTGAGCGCCGTGTCCCTGCACTGGGTGTTCCCCGAGAGCACCGAGGTCCTGCTGTCCCCCCTCACCTCCACCTGCCTCTTCCCTGGGGACCACCTGGTGGGCTATGGCATCCTCTGTGACCCCTCCCCGGACCTCTGCCACCCCCGAGCCGTGAGTCCTTCCCCCCCTGGGGCTGCCCCGGAGCAGGGAACCAGTTCCCTGTGTCTGGGCAGGAGGTGCCTCGAGGTGCCCCCTCACCCTGGGAGGAGGGTGATGGGTGAGACCGGGGGGTGCGGGTACCCAAGCTGGGGTGCTGATGGATGCAGTGGTAGGACCTGTGTCCCCCCCCCCCTCTCTCTCTGCTTCCCCC